CGTTTTACGTTTCGTTTACTCTACCGACTACTACCGTACCGTACCGTACGTTACGGTTTACGGTTAGTACGTACGAACGACGACGACGTACGTACTACTACTACTACTACTCTCTCTCTCTCTCTCTCTCTCTCTCTCTCTCTCTCTCTCTCTCTCTCTCTCTCCATAGTCAATGTAATACTAAATTGTGAGACATGGATTGTAAAAAATGGATTCTGGATGTTCTTTTCTTTTTGCTTAAATTTTTCTTTATTCATCCCCATCAATTTTTCTTTAGTGGTGATTGCTGTAAATAAAGATCACCACATACAAAGAAAACCAAGGAGAAAAAGGATACAACAATGCATTTCTTTATTGATTATTCATAGCTTATAAGATTTCGATGCAGCCTAAACTGGTTTGGTTATATATGAATGCTACTTAAAATGTTTGACCTATTGTTTTTATGGTTTTATTGACTGAAATTGAGTTTGGACTCTATTGTTTTATTGACGGACCTAATGATCCTTTTATCTATTTTATTAACTAATAAGTTTTTATCTCATAGTTTATATTTGCTTGTGTTTGAGATGATGCAGGTTCCTTGACCCAATATATTTTTAGGGACTACCCAAAGGTCATTTGTTTAAGTGAAATTTATGAGTTATTCCCTATAGTTATGCATTGGAATCTGGTCACTATGAGTTATAGATGTCAGGAATTTTGGCACCTATTTGGAAGCATCAAATTTTGGTGAGTGTATTGAATTTGCAATTTATTGGTTGTGTAACTTTGATCTAAGTATGCACTACTCTCAATCTTGTTATGGTTGGAACATTTGTTTTTCAACTTAGAATCTTCTTAGAGCTTTTTTAAAATGCAATATCTTGGGATTCATTATGTTAGCTCTTACCCATTGCTAGTTGTTTCTCACTGTTTCATATGTTCCATTCCTTTTGGACATGGCAATACAGTTGAGGACAAAGGACCGGGCTCCTATTCTTGAGATCAAGGCAATCAAGGTACCCTTGGACATGTCAATTCAGTTGGGGACTAAGGACCAGACTCCTATTCTTGGGAGTGAGGCAGTTAAGCTACCCAATTGGGCTCAACGGTTTTGTGAAGTGCTTGATACTAGGTTGAGGGATTAAGTTTTGGTCTTACGAATACGAATACTGTGTATCTCAAGATTCATACTCTTGTATATAAAAATTCATTGTGATTGAGCTCCTAAGATTTAGGTCTATTGTGCGTCTCAATATCTATTAAATAGAAGGTGGTTTTTGCTTTGTAAAAAACAATTATCTTGTCCAGGCATTCAAGGGCCATATAATGAGAATTTGCTTGATATTTACTTCGGTCTTTTTTCACTCTATAATGAGATTTTGCATTAATTTCTTTCCTTTAGAAGCATTCACAAACACATCCAAATATCATCATAAGCTATCTACAAGATAGTCATTTGGGCATTCACAAGCACAAGAGAATCATTTGGGCTGCTTAGAATCCCATAGCATATTCATTTTTCATTTTAGTTGGAGAGAGAGAGAAAGAGAGAGAGAGAGCTTTGTCAAAGGAGCATCAAAATAAACTATTCATTAGAACATATTTATGATCCAAAAAATACAAATCGATGTCTTCTGCAACACGATAGTGACATGTGCTTGTTGGATGCCCAAGAAGCAGCGAATACGAAGGGGAATGGGCAGCATAAAATAGATCATGAGTTATTTGTAGCTTTATTGAGATCAGAAGCAAATTGTGCAAAAGCTTCTACCTCTGCAAATTGAGCCAGTTCCAATTTTGATTTGCGAAATACACACCCAAATAGTTCCCAAAAACATGCCCTCATGGTAGATAGCTACAAAGACAATGGCCCCTTTGAAAGATACCACATGAGTTAGTTGAAGATCGAACATGGTAAAAAAAATGTCAAAGTTTCCTCAGGCATTAAAGTAACCATGTGCCCATGTTCCTTCTATTGAGTAAGCTCGTAAGTTGCTTCATTGACCTGATTTATTGCATATTGAGATGATGCCACAAGTTCCTTTTGCAACACTGAAAAGACGTAGGGAGTTAGAAGATGAGATGCATGTTCTTCGATTGGTGTCTTAGTTAGCAGAGTGATGTTGTGATGTTTTTGTTTCATTGTATGCCCAAAAATTGCTTGATCTCTGGTGTTTACAACTTCTGCAATCTACAGAAAAAGCAAATAAGTACAAAATAGTATAATTATAGATAATCATAATGGTATCACAAAAATTTAAGTGTTGATGTATGATTTCCTTGACTGGGGTTTGTGGCTTTTGGAATCACTGCATCAATGAATTAATCGACTTTGATCGATCTGTGGTTTTCGTACCAGCATAAAAATGACCTCTAAATAAAATACGGCAAATCCAAGATTTTTGTGATTCCAACAAATTAATATGGTTCTTAGAATTCAATTCAAACTTTTCAACCATTTAACGCCACCCAATTTCAAAGTCTTCTACAACTTGCAAATTATATAATTTGTGAAATTCGGAGTTTCTCTCATTGTAACGTGAGCCAATAGGTGCTTTAAACCATCCAGAAATTTTTGATAACATATGCCATATGCAATATGCATGCCTCGTATTTGGTAATTCACTCCGAGAGCTTTGTCTTGGTTTGTTAGAATTATTTGCGGGTTCTTTCCATTCATTAAACCAACAAAATGCCTACAACAATAAAATAGTCCCTAAATGAAATAAAACATATCTACACATGCTCATCATTATAAGGAATATTTTAAAATTGCAAGATGCTGTGTATACCTTCATAGCCTAAGACAACGAATCAATTTTTCCATCACATAGTCTTTGGATTTTTACAGTATATAATTCTTGGCTTAAATAGAGTAATCTTATCTTCTTATCTCTTATAATTTGCATGCCAATAACCTATTCTTGTTCTCCTAAGTCTTTCATCTCAAATTGCGAAGATAACCACTCTTTGATATATTTAATAACCTTTGGACTACTTGGGTAAAACCCCTACCAACCAGTCTAGCTTTATATCTATCAATTGTTTTATTTGGATTCAGTTTCTTAATATATATATCCATTTACAGCTAATGGCTCTACAGCCTTTTGGTAGGTCTCATTCCTCATCAATTAGTTATATTCATCTTATACTGCCTCCATCCAATTGGATTTCTCCGATGAACTTATGGCCTCTTTAAAGCTAATAGACTTGTCATCAAGTTCTACATTATACCCATAGTAGTCATCTAATTAACTAAGTCTCTTTGTTTCCCTAGTACTTCTCTTAGGCTCTATTATAATAAGAATACGGTTAATACTACTAGGGTTATAGGAGTTACTAGGCTTCCCTTTTTCTTTTTCTCCTATTTTTATAATTTTAGGTTGTTTTCCCTTCAACATTTCTTCATCCTCAAAGAAATGAACATCTCTACTTTCTATGCTGGTCTTAGTCTCTTGATCATAGAATCTGTAGCCCTTAGTGACTAGAATACCCAATAAAAATTCATTTAATTGTTTTAGGTCAGAGTTTTTTTCTATTTGGGTTAAGAACATGCACTAGACTACCCCAAACTCTAATGTGATCTAAATTAGATTTTCTATTAAACCATAATTCAAAAGGGGTTCTACTTGTACTTTTGTTAGGAATTCTATTTAATATATAAGTTGATGCTAACAAAACTTATCTACAAAATTGGTAAAATACATTAGCTTCTTGTATCATACAATTAACCATTTCTAATAAGGTTCTATTTTTTCTATCAGCCATACCATTATGTTGGGGTGCATAAGAGAGTGTGCATTGTCTAATGATCCCATGTTCCTTACAAAAGCTTTCAAACTCAAGTGATGTATATTCTCCACTAGTTGATTTTTTACTTTTATACTACATATTTTAAATTTTTCTAAAGCTTCACTTTTATGAGAAATCAAATATGTTTATGTATATCGTGAATAATCATCAATGAAAGTGATAAAATATTCATGTCCAGTAAATGTTTTAGCATTTAATCTTCCATAAATATCAGTATTGACTATGTGTAGAATACTTTCAACCCTTAATCCATTTGGAAATGGTTTTCTATGCATCTTTCCTAAAAAGTTTTCACATTTAAAATTATCTTTTTCTTCATAAGGAATTAATTATTCTTTCATCATTCTAGACAATTTTTCATAGCCAATGTGTCATAATCTTCTATGACATACATTAAAGCTTTCTAAGAAAGAAGAATCAACAATATAAGAGGAAGATGATTTCATTTCATTAATCTCAAGTTTATACAAACTGCCACAAAGAGAGGCCTTAGCCACTTCTACGCCACTCTCAAGAAAAGTCATATTCCCCTCTTTTACATTCCCTTCAACCCCATTCTTATCTACTTTAGGCAAGGAAATGAAGTTACGTTTCATATCAGGGGCATAGAGGAAATCATTAAGGGCAAAAGTACCCCCACTAGGAAGATGAAGTTTCACGGTTGCTTTGCCAAGAATGTGCACCCAAGAGGAGTTTCCCCATATAGAGCTTCCAATCACCAACCTTCTTCTCTCTAAAGTCTACCACATGCCACTTGCTTGTGATGATATGTCTTGTTGCATCTGCATCAATCCACCAACTATCGGATGGGGTGACCGTGAGAGACTCTTCTACCACAAATGCAACATCTTTTGAGTGATTTGAGTTTTCCTCTCTCCATCTTCTTTGGTGGGGCCTTACAAAGTTTGGCAATATGACTAAGTTTGTTACAATTAAAACATATTCTTAATTTTTTCAATAATTTTCCCTTTTTCTTATGCTCTTTCTTTGCTTCCTCATTATTTTCTTTAATCACCTTTATCTTCTTATGATTGGGTTTAAGATACCCTTTTTGAGTAGTCAAATAAGCTTGCTGGTGGGTTCTTTCATTATTTCTCTTTGGCCCTATCATTGTCTTCCATCCTAAAATATCATCTTAAATCATCAAGGGTGTGGATGGTACCAATGTGGCACACGTTTTTCTTAAGGTATTTTCATGAATTAGGGAGGTTTTCTATATCTTCATGATTTGATGATGCTCGGATATGGGTTCTCCATAACCGACAAGTTAGCCATTACAATCATGTCATCAAAAAATTCCAGTACCGATTTATTCTCTCTCATTTTATGTTGGTTATATCTCTCATAGAGTTCATGTTTTGCCATATAATTGTCCTCGGTGTGCCTTTTCTCAATAGCCTCCCATAAATCTTTAGCATTAGTATAGGGTTCAAAGACCTTACGTAATCTATCACTAAGGCAATTCAAGATAGCACCATTACATTTAAAATTATCATTCTTCTATTTTAAGTATCTTTGCCTTTCTCTAAGTGTAGAATCATCATCAGGTTCATATATGATTTCTTTTTCAATTACATACAACAAACCCATAGTAGGGAGCAAATTAGATACTTTGCTTTTTCAAAATTAAAAATTATAGCCATCATGCTTATCAGTCTTCATTAAATCAGTCAATAAAACTATAATATTAGCCATTTTCAATACAGATTGAAACCCCCTAATCTCTGATACCAATCGTTGGCCTAAATAAAGTGGATCTTTATGGTTTTCAGAAATAAATAGTGCTATATCAATATGCAAATTGGGTTTTGAACTCAATCAGGAATATCAATAAATATATAGCGTGCAACTCTTATCAAAATAATTTCAATAGCTTGTTATAAATTTCTTTAAGACTAAAAAGAGGTGCACAAATCTCATTAACTTTATTATCTATAAAAAAAATTAAAGCCTAAAATCAATTGCAAGTATTATAAACATCTTATAAGTGACCCCAGTGCAATTTCCAGCAAGTATATACTTATAAATAACCCATAGTAAATCATTCGAATAATATAAAATGATGCCAAATAATTTTTCTTTTGCGCTTATAATCTTTTTTAACCTTCAAGTACTATTTTCATATGAGAAAAGTTGGAACAAAATCAACAAATTCGTATGGATTTACAGGCACAGATTGGTAGCTTTTCTAGAGAGAAAAACTTAGTGAGAATGAATTTTTCAGCAACATATAGCACAAAAAGAAGACAAGATTGTGGTTAGTAAATAATCTAGAGAGAGACTCTTCCGTGAGATGCAATAAATGTTGGGATTTATCCCTGTGATACTAGAGGGCTCATATCCTTTGCACCCATCTCACAAAGAAGCATAAGAGAGAGAAAGTGGTTTTAGAGAGAACAGAGTGAATAAGGCATCCGAACAATCCGACCTACACTTCCTAAATCTTGAGGACATTAGCGTAGGCGATAAGAGGTTCAATATACCTCTAGAAACGTTCGACAGC